TATTGACTTCTACAGACATCTTTTAACTCATTAACCATAACAATAAGTCAAATTAGTTAATAGTTGTTCATCTCCCTTGGTTAGAAACAATACTTTTCAGTAACTGGTTAGTTATCAATACAATACTTAAGGCTCCAACTCTGTTGTAAAACAATACTGGAAACTGTCTGGAATAACACATGAAAAAAAGTACACAGTATCGTTGCAGGAGGTGAATAAATCTTTCACTGTTTCTAAATGTGAAACCATGTACGAGCTTATTAACTTATAGCCAGTATCCTATATACCATTCCACATGTTCAGATGTTAAGCAACAGGCACTGTTTCTAAGTTAAACCAGGTAACGTGATAGTAGGTGTTACAGCTGCAAATGCAGATTTTGAGAGGGCATCTTACAGGTTACCATGATGATTGTTCATGTACTTTAAAAGACACTAGAATGTCAGTATTCACTTTAAAAGCAACTATTAACTGGACAATTGAAACTACAGGAGTGCTTCAGGGGTCAGTACTTGGGCCTTTCCTTTGTTTTATTGACACTGATGATATCATACTGTTACGTATCTGTTTGTTTGATAATTTCCCGTAAAAATTCTCTCTTCAGCGATACGAGTCCTTTCTTATTTAAAACTAGTTTATTCTTTCTCATTACAAACGTTGTAATACACTTAATTTCCACAGTCACTTTAAAGTTAACTACTTTTATAAGCAAATGCTATAATTCACAATGATTCATGCACCTTACTTATGGTGCCTACAGCTCGCTTGACTCAATTATCTATCTGTGTATCTGCAATTATCTCCACTTTATTTGCTGGGCTTATATACTAAAATAGAAGGCGTCTAGAAAAGACTAGAGTTGTCAGGAACAGTCATGATCCTTCTAGAAACTCCAGCGTGCATGCTTCCAGCGTCACTTGACTTCTGCTGTCGTAACAATACTAATATAGGCCTAAGTTTGATGATGACATTAAACTCATATAATTCTAGTTTTTTTTACAATGTTGGTTACTTGGACAAATTACCTTTAATTATAAAGAGTACAAGTTGTTTAGATCACATGCTTAAAACCACATGGAAACCCATTCAACAGCTTAATTGAAGAAAAGGATCCTGGCATTAGACCTGGGCAATTAACTCAAGTGTCCAGTAAAATAATCAACCAATCAAAATTACAATTAAATCCAGTAACGTTACAAAAATAATCAATCACTGTTTCCAATTATTACAACTATTCAGTAACTGAAATTACACTTAATCTCATGAAAATAATCAGTAAATCAAAATTAGTGTATTTGATAATTCCAGCTATCTAATAATTAATGTTACAAAACAAAACAAAAAACTAATTTTAGCAGACCTCCTTTGTACACTTCCAAACAACTCAATGTCCTTTTTAAAGTAAGGAGCCCAAGATTGAACAAAAGACAAAATCCTACAACTCAAGGGCTTTCAATAGGTAGACCTTTCTTTATCAGGGGCATACAAACATTGTACTTGAAATGAGGCTCAACCGTAGATTAAATACCTTTCTTTGATCCTCTATATTTCCACAGATATAAACAAAAAATCTGATATGCCTTCCTAATTGCAACAAAACGTTGCCCAGAAGGAGACCGATTAAACATCATACCAAGATACCTTTCTTCTGTAACACTGATTTCCAATAAGGTGGTATTTATAGCTTAAGTTAACTTACATGCATTATCCTGCCATCTGTACTATATTTACCAAATGATACAAATTAAACATCATACCAAGATACCTTTCTTCTATAACACTGATTTCCAATAAGGTGGTATTAATAGCTTAAGTTAACTTACATGCATTATCCTGCCATCTGTACTATATTTGCCAAATTACTTTTTAAAATAACAGGATCATCCTCGCAGTTTGTTCAATTTTTGGCCAAGTACGATCCAGTATTAATGTGGGTTTCTTCATTATTCAAGGGTCTGGGGTTCAATTCCTGTTCCCATCAAACATGATCACTCTTTCAGCCATGAAAGGTGTTATATTTGTTTGTTGAGTTATGGCAAAGCTATTCCCTATTTTCAACTGCCAACTAGAGGGATGGCAACACACCAGTACCACTCACCACCACCTCTTGGAATACTCTAGTTTTATACAAGGTGTAAATTTACTGTTGTTTTTTTACACTGTGTTATGCTTCTAGTTCATAATTACTTAACTGTATTCTTTAATGTTAAATGTGTAAAATTACTGTTTTCACATTGTGTATGTGTTATGTATTAACACCACATCTTTTACTTTCCTGAACCCAAGTTCTGGTGGAAGATGTGACACGAACCTGAAACTCTCTGATCACGGAGCAACTACTTGCGAAGCAGAATTCATTATCCACTTTGTCATATCAAACTTTTAACCATGTGATAAATTACAAGTGAAAATTCACCAACCAATCTGCAATAAAAAATAACGAAACCAATAAATTAATATAGCAACAAACTGTGATGTTTTCACCAGTTATTCCTGTAAGCAAGTTTCATAACGAACCTGTTCAGAGAAAGTAACTTTGACTGGAACTAAGATTAAATTATATTGGGCAAAAATTTGAAATTGTAAAGATCATAACATAGTTGTGTTTTTATTCTATCGTTACTATGATCATTTCTGCTAATAATATATATATATATATTGTTTCTAAGTATTTTTGTTTTAATTTAACATTTCTCTTTTCCTGAGCCAGAATTTGATGCTGGTTCTTTTAAGTGTTTCTGGTTTCAGTTTAGCAAGTAAAATTATACCAGTATCATTTTTTTGAGTAACAGTTTATCAATCTCTAAAAATGCTATCCAAATGTCTACATACTAATAATTGTATTAGCATTTAGCTCATTATGTTTGACAATGTCTCTCTCACTTGATGCCATTGTTAAAAATAAGATTCCTCATGCAGAAAAGTAGCTTAACATGTAGGTCTTAAGTAGGCCTCTTCTACCCATGTTTTCTTGTCCATTTCAAAATTTGTGCAAATGATCAAATACTTTCTTTGCAACTGTACATAATTATCAATTATTCCAACTATCCAAACTCCACCATTATAATTTCATTTTATTATTTTTGATTACTTTATGGGTGTTCACCTTAATCTAGAAGTATCACAACTAATGAAAATAACCAATTAATATAAATTAATGTTTCAGATTATTCCAACTGTTAAGTCCCACGTGGTACTAGGTGATTAGTTGAATGTAACTGATTAATGAGCTCGACAATTAAAATCGATTGCCCAGCTCTATATCACTTTTCACCTAATGTAATCTACTTGCCCAATTTGCTAAATCTCTTTGTAAAATAAGAGCATACTTCTCACAACCAACTACATCAAAAACTTTCATATTTGACTAATTTGTTTATCCTTCTCTTATCAGTATAATTTATGTACATCAAAAAGGTAAGATTCTCCAAACAGAGCCTGAGGTACTAATCCACTCTCAATTACAAACCAGTTTGACTGCACTACATTTAATACGACCCTTTGCTTCCTCTCCTCTAACCAACCCTAGATTCTAGTTATATTTTTCTAACAGTGTAACTGACCTAAGTTATAGAATAAGTGGCTATTGGTAGTATTGGGGGCTGGCATTTTACATGTTTAAAAGGGGAATTTATAATTTATTGAAAAATAAAGAGCGAATTTAAGTTTTTACTTTTTTTCAATGGAGGGTGTGCAGGGATAGTCTTGAAGAACCAAACGGTCCCTTGTCTGTAAAATTCTAGCCTCATGCAGGAGTGTTTCAGTTACATTATCAAGAACAAAGAAGGTTAGTTAAAAGTCATCACCCATAAAGTAGCAGCTTCAACAATTAACTGCACCTCTAAGGGGAAAAAAGTTTTAATTTAAATAATCTATAAATCAGATTTATATAAATAGTAATAGACATATTTTAAAACATTCATACCACACACATCTGAAATACTATTCTTTAAGCTAAAAACTAAAGTTTAAATTAGCATTAGTTTTACCCTAACAAATGTAATAACTTATTATTTTGAACAATATCAATTTGGATCCAGCTACATTAAAAATAATTAATCCTAATTAACATCACAAAGATTTATTACAAAAACGATTACTACTACCCGCTTGGTACTAGTATCACTAATTACAGTACTATGTATTAAATGCAAAATTCAATCATATTCTTGGTACTAATTATGGTTTAGACATGTTACAGGATGTTACAACTGTTTTAAAATTCCTTTACTTCCTTTGGAAATTGTACTTGAACTGTAGGTACTGCTGTAACTTAGAGCTTTAGTGTTAGTGTTAACAAAGAGTTGGTACGTAATGTAGTTAAGCAAAGTTAAAATTGAAAATTAAATATACCTTAAAGTAACCTCCCTCATAAAGAGTATTAGGAGGCCCGAAGATAGCGACTTCCCATTCGAAAAGGTTATCATCATTGATAAGTTTTACCCTAAATCCTTCCACAGGTTCTTCTTGGACACTTTTAAATTCGAGGGCTAGGGCTCTCAACGCACTACTAGTGGGTTGTTGAGCCATCTTTCGGCCCGTGGACAATGATTTAAATCCCTTCTCCTTAGGCCTACGCTGCTAGCTTATTCAGCTTTATGCTACTGATCTCCAAACAACTGAGCTAAACTTCAACGCTTGTCAAATACACAACATTAATGACGTCACGAGAATTCTGACGTATGATTGTTTTTCAAAGTACAGTGAATCAATAGTATCGATACATACATTTAGACCTATAAACACTTGTTGTTGTTTTCAGATCGTTTAATTTATCATAAGAAAAAGATATAATGAAACTTTCTCATTAAATCAGCTTATTTTAAAATTTGGTTCATGTTATCCAGACTGTGTGTGTGTATGTGCGCCGTCACTAAAGCATGGAAGGAGCCTTTTACCTTGTGTTCGCCCATTCAGAGGTGTATTTTACTAAGCTATCGAAGTACAGAAAGATATATATAAGGGCCTGAATAAAAGGTTAGGATCAATACCGAGTACTTTCTAGTGAAGCCCAAACATTTACTTAGAAAATTTAGGGAGTTGATTAAGTAAAATGACTTTTGTTTCAATTTTGCTCTAAGGTGATTATTTGTTTTTTACAATAGAAAATTATCGCTGTTTAATCATTTAGATTTAGCGATTATATGTGCATTTAACTAACTCATTCAAAATTATAGAAGTAGGAATGTTTAGTATACTCTAGTTTAGACTTACGTTTATTTATAACGTAGATTAGTAAAAGTTAGAATAATAAAAATAGACAAGTAAGTAGTTAATGTACTTGTGTAGTGTTATCAGGAATGAAATATTAAAAAACTCAAAAATCCTTATTGTGTGACTTTATTATATATGTACACATTTGTATGTTGGTTGTATGGTTTTTGTTTTTAATTTAGTAGAAACATGTAGAAATCACAGATGTATTTCACTGTCAAATTAAATGTATAATTTTGTGTAGCTTGAATCTAAGAGAACATAATTGATTTAATTTATTAATATTGAAACATTTTCTTATTATAGGAACAAAAAATATCCAAGTTAAATTGTTTGGATTAATTTCCAGCAAAACTATACTGAAGTGTAAAATAATGACAGGGACATTAACAACAGCAGAAGAACAGGTAAAGTTAAACTTAACTCTTTATATATATAAAACAATTGAAATATGAGATGTAGGTGAAGCAAGGTTATGAAGTACAAAATACAACAACAACTGTAAATTACAACTGTGTGCTCTTATTTACTGTTACTCTATTCAGTAAAATGAAAGGAGCCATATATATATGTTTGTATATTTTTCCAGTATATAATAGTTTATGAATAATATGATTTTTAAGTTAGTTTAAGATTTTTTTTCTTTTTAAGATACAAAATTTAGTTACTTACTAATATCCTTTCATCTGTCATATTTGTATCATATAATTCAGTTAATGTATTTTTTTGTTTAAAAGACATATTCCGTTAGGCTAAGCATGAATAAGATCTTCCACTTAAAAGTGGAGGAATATTTTTGGAGTTGATCAGTTATTTCAGGTTAGTTAGGAATTAGACAAACTGAGGAAAGATTAGAAATCTGTGTGGTGACTTGAAAAGTTAAAGACCTGTTACGACAGCAGAAGTCATGTGACGCTAGTAACACATCATGAGCTTTTAGAAAATTCATGTCCCTTCGTGAAGCCTCGAGTGTTTACTAGATGTGCTGTATTCTTGTATATAAGACCGCCAAGAAGTGATGGCAACAATGGAATTGAATTGCAGACAGGGATAGAGACGACAATTGAGTCAAGCACGTGAATCGTTAGTTCGTTCGTTGTGAATTATAGCGTTTGTTTAAGTTATAGTGTGACTGTGAAAATTAAATGTATTGCAAAGTTCTGTTGAGAAAGAATAAACTAGTTTTATTTAAGAAAGGACTTGTATTGCTAAAGTTTCTTCGGAAAGAATTTTTATGGAAAATTAACAAACGATCAGATGCGTAACAACCTTATTACATTACAAGCCATGAAAAGCTAGATGCAATCCAGGTTTTATACAACTACCTAAAACAAGCAAGGTCATAGAAGGTCATTCAAAACTACCTCCTTCATCCACCAAAACAAACAGTTAAATTTAATTGTAGTCCATACTTTCTTACATGTAACCAGCAAGAGTTTATATCACCCCACACTACTCATCAGATAGACCATTTTATTTGTTCATGATTCACAACAACTAACAGAATGTGTTCTAGTCTTAATTCCCCAAATGTGTAGAAACCCCTTTTCTTAAGATCTTGTAAAAGTTCCTGCATCTACAACACTAGATAATAATTTGTTGTACAGATATTTCATTCTCTTACAAAATTAAAACGGCTTCAACTAGAGATGTGCCCGACTCTTTAAATTCTAAACTTATGATGTATGTTTTAATGCCTTCAGAATCCACGCAACATGAAAGTATAAGGATTATAAAAACATACAAAATATGTACTAATAGTTGATGGGTACATAAATGTTAAGAGCTACATATTGTTTTGTTCTCTTGATATGTTGAATAGCCTCGTGTTATCACTTAATATATGGACAGCAAAGGACTATTAGGTCCTTCAAAGCTGTCCTTGTTTGCCCACCCACGAGAAAACTAAGCATTTAAACCCCACCATTTATTTTTCAGGTAGCTATATATTTCCCTCTTAAACTCTTTGTAAGATGTCGTCAACCACTACTATTGATGGTAGCTCTCTCTCTCTCTCTCTCTCCATAAGTCATTCATTCTGCTAGAAAAACAAAACTAGTGTTTAGCCTGTCTTTTACAAATCTTAAACTTGTGTTCTTATTGTCTTCAGAATACAGCACAAAGTAATCTGTTTTTTTGTTCAGTAAAGAAACAATTTTATAATTTTTATGCACATAATTGTGGTTAACAGCTACATAGTGAGGGTATTATATATATATACCAGTTAATGTATGAATTTTCCTGATGGTAGACAAAGTTATTTATAAATTATGTTTATTCCTCTAGATGGCATTGGTTTAATAAGAAGTAAAGTAGAATTTGAATTTTCCAGTCCAAAATCTCAATTCTAGTTTACTTAACTAACAGTTTTCAGAAT